GGCAATTAAATAATAAAATACAATAAATCGAATTGGACGTCGATCGCGGTCCCCAGTTCCTTTTGACGTTCCGTCCAGTGCTCGTTGCACCTGGAATATAAACAAAAGTCTTTAATACCACGAAAACGTTTCGTAAAAATGGGAATTATTTGTATATAAACATATCGAAAAATAAAAATTTACGCTTATTTTCACCGTCTTTTTTTTTAAAGTTTCATTACATTGTTATAAAAATTGATATAAAAAGGCAAAGTGTACGAGGGTTTGTACATTGCCGGTAAATAAGAAAAAGTGCCTGGGAAGAAAAAAATTTTGTAAGTAAAAAAAATATGGTCTGCACATTTTATTTCGCACCGCTAAGTTGAATATAACCTTAAATACTCCGGGAACCCGACGGTTTGACCTGATCGTGTTTTCTGTTGAGCCGATGGTTGTTGCAACTGTGCATTGCCAGGTACATCGTCAAGAATTTCGATAATTGAGCTATCCGTCTGTCGGCCGTAGCGAGCTGAAACGTCACTCTCAAATTGGCGCCCGCGGTTGGTTGTGACGTGAGATGGACATCCGAAGTTCGCGATCCATCTTTCGACAAAAACACGAGCTACTGTTTCAGCAGTAATATCCTTATAGGTACTGATTCCGGCCATCGTGTGAAACGATTAACACAAGTGAAAAGGTAGGTACATCCATTAGATTCTGGTAGGGGTCCTACAATATCTATATGGACGTGGTCGAAACGCATGTCTGGGGCTAGAAATGAGCCTAAAGGGCTTTTCGTGTGTCGCGTGACTTTACACTTTTGACAAGCTAAGCACGACTGAGCCCACTCCTTAACGTCTTTGTTCATCCCAGGCCAGCAGAAACGTTGTGCGATAAGCCTAATGGTGGCTCGTACACCTGGATGAGAGAGTTTGTGCAACGTATTGAAGACGTTGCGTCGACAACTCTTCGGAACTATTGGGCGTGGTTGACTAGCAGAGACATCGCACAAAATTGTATCCTTGTCTGATCCAACCGGACAAAGTCGCAGCTTGAGAGTTGTGGACGACAACTCATGATGCAGCTCAAGGTCTTCCTTTTGACGCCGAGCTAGTTCAACGAGATCAATACCCTCGATATAGTTTATCGAAGCTATTCGAGATAGTGCGTCGGCTGCGGAGTTGTTTGCTCCAGAAATGTGGCGGATGTCTGACGTGAACTGGGAAATGTAATCCAGCTGTCGCGACTCACGAGGGGAGTATTTGTCAGACGCCGAGCTGAGGGAAAACGTTAACGGTTTGTGGTCTGTGAAAATAATGAAATCACGACCTTCCACAGAATGTCGAAAATGGCGTACAGAACAGTACATGGCTAGGAGTTCCCTACCAAATGTACTGTATCTTGTTTCCGCGTCTTGCAGCCGCCTCGAGAAAAAGGCTAACGGTTGCCACTGGTTGTCAGTCAACTGTTGCAAAACTGCTCCAATTGCTGAATCAGATGCATCAACAGCAATACTCAAAGGAGCATTGGGGTCATGATGCATAAGCATGGTTGCGTTCGAAATGGCTTCCTTGACTTTAGAAAAAGCAAGTCTAGCCGCGTTGTCCAGAGACACGAACTTCGCAGTTCCTCGAAGTAGATCTGTTAGTGGTCTCATGACAGAGGCACAGTTGGGGATAAACCTTCGGTAATAACTTACCAGGCCATTGAAAGTGCGGAGATGTTTCACAGTGGTCGGCTCTGGATAGTTTGTGATAGCCGCCACTTTATCTCTCAATGGGCGTATACCTTTGTTGTCAATGGTATGCCCAAGGAAGCTGAGTGATTCAACTCCTATTTCACACTTCTGTAAGTTGACTGTGATGCCATGTTTTTTAAGTCTTTCGAATGCGAGGTCCAAATGTTTAAGGTGAGTTTCCTTATCTGGACTCGCAATTAGACAGTCATCGATGTAGACATGAACAAAATTCAAACCACGGAAGACATCATCCATAAAGCGTTGGAATGTTTGTGCTGCATTCCGAAGACCAAATGGCATGCGCAGGAATTCAAACAGGCCAAAAGGAGTAATAATGGCTGTTTTCGCGATATCTTCTGCTGCCATAGGTATCTGGTTGTACGCTTTGACCAAGTCGATTTTGGAGAAAATGTTCATTCCGCATAAGGTTGCAGTCAAATCGTAAACGTGAGGTATCGGGTAGCAGTCCGGAGTTGTTTTGGCGTTAAGCCTTCGGTAATCACCGGTTGTACATCAGTCGTTGCTATCCTTTTTGGGAACCATGTGCAATGGCGATGCCCAAGGACTGTTTGACGGTCTGATAATGCCCAGTTCGAGCATGCGGTCGAATTCGCTTTTCGCCGTTTTGAGCTTATCGGGGGCTAAACGGCGCGCTTTGGATGCCACAGGTGGACCTGTGGTTGTGACGTGATGCATAACATTGCTGGTTATGCACGGAAGAGTGTGCTTCGGTTGCTGCAACTCTGGATATTTCTCCAAAACTGCTTGGTAGGACGCGTCGCCTGATTGTTTGGTTCTAACGATGGCTAAACTCGGACCTACATAGGTGGTGCCGCCAATAGATAACTTTGTGTTGTTATCTATCAGTCGTCGACGGCGAGCATCTACGAGTAGATCGTAATGGTTTAGCAAATCTATGCCAATGATGGGCATAGAGACGTCAGCAAGGAGGAAGATCCAGTGGATAGGTTTGCGTAAACCTAAGTTGAGGTAGGCATACCGTCTCCCGAATGTCGCGATTGCCTTGCCGTTGGCTGCTTGAAGATTGAAGGATGGGTCGTGATGACGCTCCTTTGTCGTTGCTGGAAGAACGCTAACTTCTGCGCCGGTGTCGACGAGGTAGCGGACTTTCGTTTTAATGTCGGTGACGTAGAGCAAACGGCTGTTTCCGCCGGCTACGGTTGCCGTGAGCACGTGCCGGCGTGACCGTTTCCCGAGTTTGTGTCCTTCTTAAAACGGCATGGTTTCCGACATTTTCTGGCTTCGTCTCCGTAAGTGTTATGAAACCAGCACCATTCAGGGTTTTCCACCCTGTTAGGTTTAGTTTTGGGGCTACCACGCGACTTGCTGCGATGCGCTAAGGTGCGTTTCTGTGAAGTTCTACGTGAACTAGGACTTCGAGATCGTAGCAACTGTTTAACAGAGTTGCACAGCTTGGTCACCTCTGAATCCTGGCTCTCTGGTTTGTCGCAGATAGAATATACGTTGGAGACGGGTCTGCTAGAAATCTCCAGTATTTTATCTGCTGAGGCTGCCAGGTCATCGAGTGGGACTGACTGCAGTGTCACCAACACGGTTTGCACCGGTTGTGGTAGTTTCGAGAGAAATAGTTCTCGGAAGAGACCATCGTCGAATGTTCGTGCACCGATTACTTCTCGCATGCGTGCGAGGACTTCAGTAGCTGAGTGGCTGCCTAGCTCGATGTTACGAAGTAATTCGTCTAGACGCTGGCGATCTGTGAGATCGCTTTTCTTCAAGAGTGCGGCCTTAAGAAGTGCATAAGGATCACTTACTTCAGGATTAAACATGTGTGCTGTAACATACCTGTTTAATTCTCGCGGTAGTGACCGTATGACAGCAAGAAATCGAGAATGAGGATCTGAGACGCCCTGTTCTCGAAAATCGGCCTCGGCATACAGAAACCATGTTTCTGCATTGTCTGGCCAATATGGCACGAGTTGGATCGTGTTCGTAGTCGGCTTAATACGAATAAGCTTGGGAGTGTGGTCGGACATGAGAAAGTGTAGTAAATGGATATATAAATGTTATCGAAATGAAAACAATAAACAAATATAAAATGGAACAGGCTCACCAATTCAATACTTTGTTATTGGTCGGGATATGTGATCACGTCGGGCTCACCAATTTAGGATTTGTCCTGGTGCGAACTTGACAGACGCAAAGACCAATCACTAATTATTCGGACTTGTTATATACCCACGAATACGAGACCAAGGAAGAACACGATAGCGTAGTCGGATGGAATAGTATATTTGGATGGTTGTGCCAAAATACCGATGCGTTCCAACTAACTGGCTAGAGAGTCGAATACGAGCAGTGCAACGTAACACGACAGCGTGCCAAATGGCGAGGATGCTTGACCGGGTGCCTTCAGCTTAGCGAGTCCAGTTAAACTATCAAGGTCAGCATCAATGTCGAAAGTCGTCAAACCCTAGGCTATTGATTTTGGGGAAGTTTGTGATGCTACACGCCGTTCATCCAATCTGAACTTAAGTCTTATTGTTTCTTTTTTTATGGGTTGATATATTATTTCATTATCAACGTTAGTCACTGTAGATTGTTGTTACAACACTGAAAAGTATCAGGCATGTCGCCATGGTTTTAAGAAATTAGTTGACTGAGCTGGCTGTTGTTGCGCAAATTTCTAATTGAACCCGTATCAGAAGACAAGCTAGCCAGCAAATTATCCTTGTAAGAAATGCTTGCACATATCTGAGTAGTTACCACAAAACAGATATGGCTGAAAGCTATTTTACCCATCAGTAGAAGTAAACTGAAATAATCCTGAGTTCACTAACTATCCAATCTATTTAGGCTCAACTTGACTTGATTTTTGACTGCTCTGCCAATTAGTGTTCAAAAACGAAATTTACTCAGCCACGTTGCTTACATCCATGCAGCAGAACGCGAGCCGCACCTACTGTGTGGTGGCTAGTGAAACTACCTGCCTACCCACACCTTGTTGGGTGGAGGGGGGTTCAAACCTGTGACCCACTGGTTGAATGTCACCTCTCTAAACCACTAAGCCACATCTCCATTCGTTTATTGTTCACTATTTGTTGATGTTAGTTTCGAAAGTATTTAAGTCAAGCATATCAGTGGTTTCTAATTTTTAAGGATAACCATGAAAATCACGAGATACCATTTCCATCGAAATGGAAAAGCCTGAACTAGTAGTTATTTCTGTTACTTGTCAATTTCTCCCAATTTTTGTATACTGTGAACTCAGTGGTCCATACCCTACTGTTTTTATCCTTTTTAGAAGCAGAAGTCTTGAACAAAGTTAAGAAGATTTAGTGAACTGAGCTCAGACTTTCAATCAGTCAAATTTTTTATTTTTCTGACTCTTAAACGTCAAAAACTGACAACTTCAAGAAAATGATTTTATCATAATATTTTGTCATTTACAAAAGGTTGAATTGATCAAAAAAGTACGAAAGCAAATGCTAGAAGCAGACATTCAGCTTATTGACGCAAGTACTCGTACCTGTGCTGTTTGAATATAGCTCGCATTGGTTTTCGTTCACCAGTAATCAACTTGAAAAACAGCAATAGTGATGACAGATCGGGCGTATTATCCCTGGACAGGTACCCAATTTGTTCTCATATTATTATCTAAGGTCGATGTGAGAAATTGTCAGCATTTCTGGAGCGTGCTTGTTTGAGAAACTTTTACAGCATTTTGAAGAAAAAGCTGAAAATAAATGAGTAAGTTTCGTTCTTTTACTTTTTTAAATAATGATTTTATTTTGCCCCATAGTGTGTATATATGCGTTTTAGTTTTATCACGACAGTTTTGGGATCTTTTGTGGGTTCTGTGAATATCCATATGCCTTGGGCTGACGATGGCTTTTAATTTTATGAAATACGAATTCTCATGACAGTTCCTCACTAAAAAGAATATCCAGTTCACATGGTAGCTTGTTAATACAAATACTTTTTCATATGCTTGAGTGATAATTAGCGTATAGGAGTTGAGATATCCAGGTAAAATCATTATGTGGTACGCAATAGGTAGTTCCTTATATGAACCTTATTCGAGCTCCACTCCACCTACTGAGGTTCGAACTGTCAGGTAGTATCATCTTGACATAACTATGGACAGTAAACTGTCCGAAACGTAATTTAGTAAAAAAAAAATACCGTTACACTGTGTGATAAATCTAATAAATCAATTAAAATGGAAGTATCGTTACCCCTTAGATAATAGATGTGGCTTATTGACTACTGAAGGAAGGTGTATTTCTTCAACCAATCAGTTATTCAGTATCGACGTAGAATCAGGCACTACTGAGAAATGGTCCAAGTTGCCACACCTCATATCAGCGCAACAAGTAGTAAAATGAAAAACAAAGGAAAAAAGAAAACTTGATCAAAAGCAGTTGGTAGCAGTAAAAGAGAGGAGGGAGGAACGAGAAAATACTAAATTCAGTCAAGCCGTTAAGATGAAGATAAAGTGTGGATACATCTGTATCACTGAGATCAATTGTGGACCATATCACTTAGAGTTTCCAGCCACTAGTTTCTGCTGTCACATGAACCCCAACCAGCTATTTTGCATCTGTCAACATGGCTCAAACCAACGGTGAAGGATTTCATGGACTGATACATGTTTTAGTTTGGCTGCCCCTGACCTTTTTCCAGCCTGGAAATTCTTCAGCCTGAAAATATGTTCAATACAACTCGATTTTGACGTAATCATATAGTACTAAATGGTAAAGGTTTGTTTATTTTTCACCTGTTAGATGTAAATGTTGTACTCTCTTAGGAAGATACTGCTGTTGGTCAGATATTGAATTTGATAAACCTCAGGTTGTGTTTAAATATTTAGTCCTATAGATTTTGCCCGGTTTAAACCCACCGATCTAACATATCTTGGGATGACAGGAAATGAAATCAACCGACTTGTGAACCAGTTAATGGAAGATGGCTTCCCAGTGGGTAGCCTACTTTCCGATGAAAATGCAGATTGTGGCCATTTGTTTACGGACTCGGAACCATATCCTGTCACTGGTTTTCACCGATCAAAACTACTGCGTAAAGTGAGTGATTATACAAATACTTTTCAAGGTTTTATAAAATAGCTGTGAAGAGTGTTTAACAGAAAGTCTGTTTTTATTGTTGGTTCATATTACACCAAATAAAACAATGCAGTTACGTATAAGCAGACATCGGTTTCTTTCTGTAAAAGTTGCAAATTTTTCAGTAACCTAGGTAAATTGACGAATGGGTGAACTCGATAACTTAATGTAAATAAACCAGTCTTGGGTAAGGATGTTGCTTTGATTTTTGTCGTATGGTTTTAGACACTAAAACAATATTCTTCAGTTTTGATTTCCTGACAGATGTGAGGTTGTATCTCTCAACTTCCATTGACAACTTTAGTTCTTTATTCACTTTCTGGGCCATTGCGTTGAATGGTTTTGAACGAAAAATGATATTTGAAGTTTTGTGTGTTTATCCGTTTATCAGGATTGGTGTTAATTGATATATATATATATATATATATATATATATATATATATATATATATATATATATATATATATATATTCTAAGTTTGTTGGCAGTGCATATTCTCAGCTCTAAGGGACTTGTCGCTCCCTCAGATATCTGAACCCTCATCATTCAGAACTTCAAATCAAAAGCGGTAACATTTAACCATTCAACCTTCTTATTGGTTTTTTCCTATCACCTAACATCAAGCAAAGTTTTGCCTGAACAACTACACTGCTTGCCTGGTCGGTAATATTCGGTCACGTTTTACGACTAGATAAATAGATACTGGTTGATTCATAGGGAGTTATCTGTATATTTCAGAACTGCTAGTGTACAAAGGTTAAGAATCCATGAAATAAATTCATCCTATTCTGTTTAAATGATTGTTCTTTACCAAGAACTTACCAAAAAATATTGCGTGAAATGGTGACTTGTTGGTTGTAACAAACTGTGGCATCGAGTAGTACTGTAATCTTACTAAGTGACTTTTTTCTCTTCGGTTAACCATAATGTACTTCAACATATTTCACAATTTTCTTGATTCAAAAATATGCAAGTAGGTAAACACAAAATTCACTTGTATGTTTAGGTTATGGACAACATCTGTTGCGTGAAGGATGGTTGTGCTAACTGACTACCCAAACCAGTAGCGATGATGAGTAATTCTAACCGCGTGACTCGCTAGTTATGTTAGACGAACGTTTGGACTAATAAACAATAGTGCAAAATATGCCTTGCAGGTAATTTGTCAAGAAAACCTTATTTTGAAAGGAGATCCACTAAAATATATGAAACACGTATGGCTAATTCAACGAAGGTTTTTTCAACGGTTACAGTTTTCGCATGTGTGATGTATTTTTAACTGCAGTGTTCTACAATGGTACACTAATAAATAAACATATCATTCTTGTTGTGGCTATGACCACCAAAAATCAAATTATTTGAGAAACAATTTTAAAATCATATGACATAACATTATGATTATAAAATGATTATTATGATTATAAAATGTACAGTCAACCGAAGCATAGAAATAGGAATGGGAATGTAAAATTGGTCTGAGAATAAACAGAAGAATATAAAGTGGAAATAGACTTGTAAAACGAAGCTGTGTTCATGATAAAATAAAAGTCAGTGTACTAAATATGATTTAAGTGAGAAATTGGCATGCTACTCTATCAGCGAAAAGACTGCAGGTAAGAAATTATTCCTGAGTTGGTTGATGTGATCAGTTTAGGGACAGTTAGTTTTGATGTGATCTATCATTTCTGTATAAACTGCAGTACAGCCTTTCGAATTCCATTTTCTGTAGTTCATTTTCACAATAGACGTGCTGTAGCCAGTTATGGAGTTGGCTTATCAAAAACAGCAGTGTTAATTTTTGTAGATTCCTGTGACAAAGTTTTTATCTCTTTCAGTTGAAAACACTGAAAGCCAAAGATTTTGTGTATAAGGCTTCTCTGTACTGTAACAACGAGAGACAGTACCAACATGGAGCCAGGCATATTACTTTACAGCGGTCCAAGTTGCTATACCTTATGATCAGCATGTCAAACCCAAAATACACTAAGATGAAAGATGGAGAAGTAGAGAAAAAAATCAGTCAAAATCCATAGGAAGTTATCAAAAGAGAGTAAGAAGGAATGAAAGAATGCTGAAATTTAGTGGGATAATGTGTTGATACAGCTGCGCCACGGAGATCGATTCTGAATCATATCACTTAGAGTTTCCAACCCTAGTTTCTGCTGTTACGAGAACCCCAACCAGCTATTTCGCATCTCTCAACATGGCTCAAACCAACCTTGGAGGATTTCATGGACTGATGCATGTTTTAGTCTGGTCGTCCCTAGCCTTTTACCAGCCTGGACCCACTGCATTTAACATTGTGTGACGGGATACACGGTGACTAGGCGTGCGTAACACATGTCCGAGGCACCCGGGTAGGTGAAGGTTCACAACCCTATCGACTGATTGCACTGTTGAAGAAAATGCACTTTCCTTTCTATTGTCTCAATGGAGCTGTGGCATGTTGGTTTGGGCAGTTGACCTTAAACCAGTGGGTCGCGGGTTCGAACCCTTCTCTGCCTACTAAGGTGTGAGCAGCCAGGTAGTATCACTAGCCCTCACACAATAGGTATGGCTGATTACCTAATACTCTTGTCTTATGCGCACATGTGGAAGAGTTCTATGTAAATGTGTGAATTGGAACTAGTTGAAATCTAAAAATAATGTAGACAACAGCCAACTATAGATGCTTTTACGTAACTATTATATGACTATTTGAAAATGACTTGTTAAGATTACCAAGGTTCTCAGGAAGATGTAAAAGAGAATATAATATTATGTAAAGAAAACCTATGTGATTTATGGCAATCAATAATTATAAGCATATACCTCAGTGGTAAACGAATGTAGAAAAATTACTAAATAGTATGGTTTTATGAGGAAATTTTGTGACGCATTTTATGAACACGAACTCAGTCACCACTGGGTAACCAGTATAGTTGTCTATTTCTGGATGCTCACCACTAACCGGAGTCCATCGGTTAATTTTTTGATGTGGTCACTTCACTTAGTTTGTTATTATCTCGAAGTGCCTGTGCAAAAACGTCTTAGGTATAGTGAAGTCATAAAGCCACTTCTCGTTGTTTCATATCAGAAGTCAGTTTAGGTAAGGCTGTCCAATTTCACCACTCGTCTAACTTTTCTAAGGACAACCTTGAGAAAGTGATGTAGTAGTGGCGTAGATCTGTTACCAGGTGAAAGACTTTTCGACTTCGAGCATACGAATACTATCGTTTTACTGTACGACAACATAGCTACTCAAATCCCAAATGTCTCCGTAGGTATGGTATGTGGTCTGGACCATCGAAGAGCATATGCTTCCACAAGATTAACAAGAGTCTGTATTGGCACTTCAACCTTGGCGACGAACCTTTGCGAGTTATCGTAAAGTTTATGTACTTGAGTAGTTATGTGAGTGCTAGTGGAGGTGTGACTGATGAGATTTCTATTCACATATCGAAAATGGCATACACCAATCTGGGTACGGTATACAATACTCCATGCGAGTTCTACTCTACGCCAGTGAAACCTATCCTCTCGGAGTTGCGAATATTCGATATCTGTCTTCGCTATTTTGACAGGGTTACTAGCTTCTGGTGGAAACACCATCGAAGTTATTCTGAGGTGAAGGGGGGACTATTTTATTGTGATGGAAATTGTCATTTGTTGAGTGAGGTCATCTTCGGTGAATTGGACATGTTACGTATTTTGTTCCAGCGGTTACTATGTCGTCCACTGTTTACTTGTCCTGGTATCATTTGGAATAAGCAGAGATGTTGCGTCTTAAGATGTAGGATAGTTGTAGAGTTTGTGGGAACGCACAACTCGGTGACTCGAAAGGATTGCAGATATGGCTCAGAAATGAAAGCAGTGGCGATCGTTCTGTGACTTTCTTATGTCTTCTGATGTTGTAAAGAGGTGAAATGAAAGTGATGGATGCTTTGTTATTTAAATAGAGCGAGAGGAATAGGTTTAGCAGAATAGCATGGATCCATTTAATTTTGCGGTTTCTCATCAGCTGCTTGCAACGTAAAACAATTTTAACCTCAATCTACGTAAGTGTTTGCATACATGAATCAGTTTGATAGAAAATTTTCGGCTTGAATTAAAGACAAGATCTCTATGAATAATTGAAAACACGAACTGAGTGAACAAATATGCAGAACTAAGTTTGACAAAATATAGAAGGATTAGACGAATATGCTAAAGCGGAAGTTGGATAAGAAGGGGAGACAAATATATTCAGTAAATTGAAAAAGGGCACACAGAATGTTTAAAAGGCCATATGATTTATGTTAGCTAATGTGGGTAGAATTCAGATAATTAGGTCAAGGATGTGAAGTGTGAAATAGCAAAAAAAACTCAACTTGTATGAATTGACGAAGATATATAAAAAAGCATGAAAACTGTCAACAAAACAGAAGTTTTTACCATAGTAGGTACAAACTGATATATATTTTTCATTGAATGGCCAGCGCTTCAGCGAAACGCAACAAATTCGAGTTCATCTCTTTATTAATTATTTTGAACGACTTCATGTCCACTATCAATAAGGTGACAAGCAATAGCACTGTTGAAGACTTTTCCACCTCAGTCGCAAATTCCTTGGAATAAGCTCAGTAATGCGGTCAAAAACCCTTCTTTCTGTTCCCCCAATGTATGTACTTTGGGACGTACATGTGAATTGGTATATGCATTTGGTGGTAACATGAAGAGGGGAACTGTCAACCTTTGGTCGTCTTGGTGAGCGATTTGTTCAGTAGAGAGTTATTAACCTAGCAGCTTATCGGTCCTTTTTGAAACAGAATCTATCCTGTAATTATTCTCTCGGAAATGTCATCACCTTTGAAACCAAGATTTAAGAAAACAGGCTTCTTCTTGACTGTATCAAACCTTGTGGTTTCAGTTTGTATATTCTTGTGCTTATTGATGAATTTCCTTGGATGTCCGTTATCACCGTATTCCTTTCCTCTTCCAGTGTCTCTTTCGAACCAAGATGTATTATGCGGTTGAAAAATGTTTTCACTAGCCCTTTATTATGACTAATGGGACAAAAGCTTTTGAATTTAAGATGCATTCCACTCCAAGAATCTTTATGATGGATGCATCTAAGTATTGAATTCCGAGATCAAGGAACTGGAAGTTTATTGCTTGATACTTGTGATTTCCAGTCGCTATACAGGGTCGAATCGCTCGACCTCTGTTGGGAGATAGCATCCTTCGCGGATGCTTCGATACTGCCAGGTGTTCATGTTCATGGTGATGATGGTGACTCAGTGGATTCTTCTCTAAATGTCTCTTAGAAACTACTTATTCTATTTCCACTTCTCTTTCTTTTCCTTTCCTCTAATTTATGTTAATTTTAAATGTTAATGTTATACTGATTTGTACAATCCATTTATTGGTATGCATTTTGTATCAAGCTTGTGTTTTAAATATGATGATTTTAAGGTAAATAATTATATCAACTTAGGTGCTGAGATATGTGTTACGCATGCTAACTCACCACTTTTCAGGTATGCAGTGACAGGGTTAGGCTTGCGATTAAGGTAGCAAAGACCTTATGGTTGTCAGATAAATCTATATATTTTAATGACTTCATGTAGGCTGTTTAAAAAGGTGCAGAAATTTTGACTATTATTCTTAGGTGTTAGAGGTTAGTGTCTGGAGACGCCCAGTATCATGGTTTAAAAACGATTACAATGGTGCTATATGATTACTCTCCATTTCTAATCACAGCATCTTTATTTTATTATCTTACTTCCATTATTCCCGCTCCGTTTATGTCCTTTAATATTTTCCGATTTGTGTTTTCATGCTGTTGTGATGCTTGATAACTTTAGATGGCAGGTTTCTGTGCCATGTTTTTCGTCAACCTGTCAGTTTGAAGGAAATTTATGTCCCACTTCAGCTGATTGAAAGGAAGGACTGATGTCCATCTAACTACATGAATGTTGAGGTATAATTCTTAACTAAATTTATTTGACACCGGAAAACTAAATTGTATTCCATGCATCTGTCTGGTTATCGAACCATACTAATTTCACATGTACTTTCTAATGCACTTCCGAATGTTGTCGTGTCGGTCTGACTACAACACGAAAACCATTTGGTTGTATCAGGAAAGTTGTTTCAAATAAAAAGCTTATCATGACTTTTGATGTATCCGCTAAACAGCTGAACCTTTCGAATCATCGTATTACTTCGTGGTAACTGTAATAATTATGAGTTCGCGATTAAGATTCATCTTGTTCGACCTGCTTTCTATAAACAATATGCATAATTCTGTGATTAAACTGCATGATCATTTCCGTTTCTTTTAATCTCAGATATTCCGAAAAAAACAATCCTTCTATACTAGTGCTCCGGTTTCCCCAGCACATAGACCTGAATACCGGTCAATAAATCAATTTCCTATCCATCGTCCCCAAATACATGTGCCTTTTCGTTCAACAAGTTTAACTGATGATCGGAAATCTAGTTTGGTTCAGAATAACTGTGAAAGTGCTACTGTTAATCCAGCTACATGTACATGTCTTATTCCTGAAAAGGATATCAAACTTTACTCAAGAATTGGAATAGGTTCGTTTGGTATAGTACGTCGTGGTGACTGGACTATGCCAACCGGTGAAACAGTGAGTTTACCCCTTTTTTCTTAACACCTCAAGTATGGATGACAGCTGTTGGATTTGTCAACTTAAATGTATCATTCTCTATTTCTAAAGGGTCATAGTATCGGAAGTGTAGAGTGTACTAACAATACAGATACTGTAATCTGGCGGTTTATTGTACCAGTAATGCGGCAGACTTATCACTTGGTATACTCATTAATCATAGAATCGGTTGTGAATTTTAAATGCTATTTCGGTTGACTTGATTATTACTAAGATCTATCTCATTATGTCAACCTCGCCTGGTTAACTAGTTTACTAGTTACTAGCCGGTCCTAAGCCCGGGTAAAGAGGGAAGGTTGGGCATAGGGCTAGCAACCCTACCCCGTAAAACAAATCTAACCGCTAAAGAAACTTCAAAGCACAAACAAAATATAAAAAATGAAAACAAACTTATTCCCCGCTGGAATCGGAGAGGCGAAATGACGCCAGTTGGTGAAAGCCTTCGGGAAGCCAATTGGCCGATGTGTCTTCTCTCGATGAAAGCGAAAATAAGCATGGGGACATGGAATGTCCGCACCATGTGTGCACCTGGCAAGGCTGTCCAGATTGCAAAAAGATGACGAGGTGTGGCATAGAAGTGCTTGGGATTTGCGAAAGCAGATGGAATGGGAGTGGACTCTCCAAACTGTCAACTGGAGAATCAATAATCTACTCCGGTCACCCAGACGCCAACCACGAGCACACTGAGGGAGTGGCTATCATGATGTCCTCAAGAGCATCGAAGGCTCTCATGCAGTGGGAACCAATCTCCTCCAGGATCATGACAGCAAGATTCAACTCAAAAGGAAGAAAGGTCACAATCATACAATGTTATGCACCTACAAATAATGCAGAGCAAGAGAAAAAGGAGGATTTCTACAGACAACTTCAATCAACACTGGACAAGACGTCAGTTGGCGATATCAAAATTCTGATGGGCGACATGAATGCCAAACTGGGAGGGGACAACACGGGAAGAGAACTAACCATGGGTCGAGAGGCACTAGGTGAAATGAATGAGAATGGAGAATTGTTTGCAGAATTCTGCGCATTCAACGATTTGGTGATTGGAGGCAGTGTGTTCAGGCACAAAGATATCCACAAAGCGACATGGATTTCACCAGATGGACACACTAAAAATCAAATCGACTTTATCTCAATCTCAAGAAAATGGAGACGCAGTCTACTTAACACGAGGTCAAGAAGAGGAGCAGATGTAGGTTCAGACCACTACCTAGTGCAAGGAACCTTCCAAATCAAGTTAAAAGCCTTCAAGGAAGCTGGTGATAGACCTCAATTCAAGTACAACACTCGGAAACTGAAGGATGAAACTACAAAGGAGATCTTCAAGGCAGCCATCAAGACAAAATGGGAGACATCGAGCAACATCCCTGAAGAAACCTGTGTGGAAGAACATTGGAAGTCTTTGAAAGCTATGTGGAAAGAAACCTGCACAACAGTATTAGGAAGGAAGAAGGTGGAAGACAAGGAATGGATCTCGACGGATACCTGGAAGCTGATAGAGGAGAGGAGGATGGTGAAGCGGAAGATAAACCAGTGCAAGGATGCTCAACGACAAGAGGAACTGAGCACAATGTATAAAACACTGGACAAAGAAGTGAAGAAGAGTGCACGCAACGACAAAAGACACTTCTACGAAACACTGGCAAGTGAAGCAGAACAGGCTGCAGGTAAGAGAGACCTGACGACATTGTATCAAATAACCAGGTTACTATCAGGGAAGAGACCAACACAGATTAAACCAATAAAAGATGAAGAAGGAAATTTAATTACAAAAGAAGAGAAACAGAGGAAACGATGGGCCGACCACTTCAAGAAGCTCTTGAATCGACCACCACCTGCACTTCGTCCAGAAATACCACCTGCAGCCGCTGAATTACAAATGAACATAAATCCCCCAACGAAAATGGAAGTCCTGAACGCCATAAAGCTACTGAAATGTGGGAAAGCAGCAGGACCAGATGGAATACCGCCAGAAGCACTGAAAACAGATGCAGAGACAACAGCGGCCATGCTCACACCACTATTGCAGAAGGTGTGGAAGGAAGAGAAGGTACCTGACGATTGGAAGAAGGGTTACCTTGTCAAACTGCCGAAGAAGGGAGACCTCAGTGCTTGCAAGAACTGGCGCGGAATCACTCTCCTGTCCACCCCAAGTAAAATATTAAGCCGCATCATCCTGGAGAGGCTAAGGGATGCACTGGATTCAAAACTACGACCGGAGCAGGCAGGCTTCAGGAAGTACAAATCATGTGCAGACCAAATTGCAACGCTTCGCATCATCATAGAACAGAGCATAGAATGGCAATCACCTCTCCACCTCAACTTCATCGACTTTGAGAAGGCCTTTGACAGCGTCGACCGAGAGGTAATTTGGAAGCTGCTTCATTACTACGGAGTGCCGCAAACCTTTATCCGCCTCATTCAACAACTATATGAAGATGCCACATGCCAAGTAATCCACAATGGGAAGCTCAGTGATGCCTTTGAAGTGAAGACAGGAGTGAAACAAGGTTGCCTACTATCCCCCATGATATTCCTTATTGTGGTCGACTGGATCATGCAGCAAACAGTAGGCAGCGAGAAGAGGGGGATACACTGGACGACGGAAAAGAACCTAGAAGACTTGGATTTCGCCGATGACTTATGCCTAATGTCACATAAACTTGAAGATCTGCAGGCAAAAACTAACAAGTTGATAGAAGAGGCAGCGAAGACGGGACTTCAGGTGAATATAGAGAAGACAGAAGTGATGAAGATACCGCACCACCACCATCAACAACAACAACAACAAACTCCAATCACTGTCAACGGGAGAAACTTAAAGGAAGTAACCTCCTTCACTTATCTAGGAAGCACTGTTTCAACTACAGGCGGGACGGACGAGGACGTCAAAGTCAGAATCGGAAAAGCAAGACAGGCATTCATTAGCCTGAAACCAGTGTGGAGATCTTCTGCACTCAGCATGCGGAACAAGATACGGATTTTCAACACCAACGTCAAGTCAGTGCTCTTGTATGGCTCAGAGACTTGGCGCGTCACGAAAGGTATTTCCAATAAACTACAGACATTCATCAACAACTGCTTACGCTCGCTGCTGAAGATCAGATGGCCAGAAAAAATAAGCAACAAGGAACTCTGGGAACGAACCAACCAAGAACCTATCACGCAACAAATATGCAGGAAGAAGTGGAGATGGATTGGCCATGCACTGAGAAGGCCGACTGAGGACATCACGCGTCAGGCCCTCGAGTGGAATCCCCATGGGAAGCGACGAGTTGGACGTCCAAGGGTGACATGGAGGAGGTCGTGCGAGCAGGAAATGAGAGCTTCTGGGCTGTCGTGGGACCAGGTTCAAAAGATCTCAGAGAACAGAGGTCACTGGAGGCGTGCTACTGAAGCCCTATGTTCCACTAGGAACCCAAGGGACTAATAATAATAATAAATCTCATTATGTCAGTGGTAATTAGCAATAGCCACTTAAACTGTATACATATTAATTGGCTAACTCGAATTATTTTATATGGTTTGAAAAAAGCAAATAATTTCTGTCCATTTTTCATTACTGTCTGTATGGTTTTCTATTTTGCTAGAATAAAGACTGAATTACATATTTAGATGGGACAATTAATATCGAACAATATATACTCACACATGGATGCACTCATACATGTCATACTTCGAGGAATTTGTCACCTTTAAGTTTTCGCATCTCAGAGATTTGTTTTCACCCATTGAAAGTCTAATTGTGATTATGTAAAAATAATGATGCAACTCAAGAATCATGTGAATATTTATGTAAGAGGCTACAAGCCATACATATTACGCGAGCGCTAGTACTACATGACTACCCAACCCATGACAAGTTGAACAAGACTCGAATTCGTGATCCGCTAGTTGTAGGTTTATTACATAATACAACAAAGTGGAGCTGTAACTGTGTATTTCCTATGGATAGAAATTGCTGGAAGAACCATTGTCTAGGATTTCATATATATTAGTAGCGAACGAAGAAACTTTCGCCGTAATTGAAATGACATGAAATGAAGTTGCTGACACCGAACATGAATTGTTAACTATCACACTGTTAGTGTTACAAGTAAGATCCAAGCACTGCATCTACTTGTTTTTAGCAAGATTTACGACGTATTTCTTCTATAAAATATCATTTCTGTTTTTCCTTCTTTCGTTATAATATTTTGTTGTGATTACATATAAAAGATTGACTTATGTGTCTAACATTGAATTGATGCACCAGATTTTGTGACATTATGTAAACCGAAGATGCTTATAGATTAGCATTGGTCTCGATGATTCTGTGTTCATATTAATCATTCGCTTGCAGGAGTTAACTATTCACGTAAATCAACTCCATCCAAGAAAATTAGGATGTGGTTCTATGGACTTCTTCAAATTTCCAGTTATGGTTTCTGACTGGGTAGAAAAGAGGATTATGGAAAACGTTAGATGAACTCATATAGTTGTGCTTTTCTGTTTTTATACTAACTCTCATTCAATAATCTACTTATATCGCTTTGTTTTGGAAGACAAATATTTCCAGCAAACTGTTTCTAGTTATTCATTTCGTTGATCTAAAAATATGCAGTGTGAACATAATTGTGTATGCATCTAATGAACACTAGGTTGATGTTACTTACCTGGTTGGCTTATAATATTATATTTCTGGCAAAATGATGCAAAATCATCATCATCATTATTATCAACATAGGACCAGGCATTACTGCGTAACGGTCCGAGTTGCCACACCTCATATCAGCACATCAAGTAAAAAGGTAGTGAGGTGAAGGATGAAGATAAGTGAATGCAGTCAAAAGAAATATAAAGTACGAGAAGAAAGGAAAGAGGAGTGACAAAATAGTGAGATTCGGTATAGCGTTGTTAAGATGAGGATAATGTGTGTATACATCTGCGCCACTGACTTCGGTTCTGAGCCATATCACCTAGGGTCTCCAACCACTGGTTCCTCTTGTCCCGTGGACCCCAACCACCTAGTCTGCATCGTCCTACATGGCTTAAACCAACAGTCAGAGACTTCATACATTGGTGCCATGTTTTAGTCTGGCCACCTCGGGCCTTTTTCCAGCCTGAACCCACCTCAGCCAACATTGTGTGACGAGGCAATCGGTGACTAGGCATACGTAGTACGTGTCCCAACCATCTCAGTCGATGAAGGTTCACAACCTCGTCGACTGACTTACCTCTTCTCCCCAAAACTCTACACCTAACTTCTGCATTACTCACATGGTGACACCACGGAATACGTCCTATACTACGAAGGCAACGGTGGTCAAACACCTGAACCCTTTTTGTATCCTCCACTTTCAATGGCCATGTTTCACAGCCATACAGTAGAACAGAGCGGACTGCTGTGCAGTACACGCGACCCTTAATAGACAAACGAATATCACGGCGGCGCCATAGGTGGCGCAAATTGGCAAAAGCCAATCGAGCCTTTTGTATCCGTGCAGAAATCTCATCGGCAACTAACCCACCGGGTTGATCCTACTTCCCAGGTAAGTGAAGTGGTCAACACACTCAACCACTTCACTCTCTATTGTTAACCGCGGTACCGCTGAAGACCAGTCCTGGAGCAAAAATTTGCATTTGGGTGGTGAAAATCGCATCCCAAACATTCTCAAATTCCCACTCAAAGTGTTCAGAAGACTCTGCATCTTGTCAGCGTCTTCACCTAACAGGACTATGTCATCTGCATATTCTAGATCTAAGGAAAATTCACCTGTGATCCGGTCAACGTCTTTGTAATTAGGTGACGAGAGGGAAACCTCCATAAGAATATCTATGATAAAATTAAATAAGAATGGGGATAGTGGGCATCCTTGACGGACACCACTTGATGAGTATAGCTCCCTGGACAACTCACCATAGGCTCTAACATGCCCACAAGTGTTCGAGTAGAGAGCTTTCAATAAGGTGATGTACTTACTAGGCACGCCTTTCAGTGACAGACACTGCCATAAGACTTCTCGATCAACGGAGTCAAATGCCGCCTTCAGGTCGAGAAATACAGCTATTGTCGGGCGTCTGTAAGCATGCCTATGTTCCAGGACCTGGCGCAGTGTGAATATTTGGTCGATACATCCACGGCCAGGTCTAAAGCCTGCCTGGTTTTCTCGGGCTTGCTGTTCCCGAGCTCCACTCAGGCGTCGGAGAATTATAGAACTTAGGATCTTAGACACTATGTTTGTCAGGCTGATTCCTCTGTGGTTATCACAAGAGGACTTCTCGCCTTTCTTGAAGACTGGGATGATGAGTGACTTAGACCAGTCGGAGGGGATCGTATTTGATTCCCATATACTGGCTAACACTTCCGTTAGCCTGACTAAGAGAACTCTACCACCATTCTTGTATACCTCAGCAGGTAGTCCGTCTGGTCCTGCTGCCCTTCCCCGTTTCAGGCTACCTACCGCTTTCTCAACTTCTTCTAGTGTTGGGGGACCTGTCTCTATGTCCCATTCAGGGTCCGACTGGATAGCGGGCAGCGCAATGGTGGCTGGAGGCCAGTTAAACTGTTCCTCAAAGTGTTCTGCCCATCGTCCCAGTCGCCTTCCCTGCGAGTGAATCGCCGATCCGTCCTTCTCCGCTATAACCTCACTAACTGTTGTTGACCATTTCCCCCCAGTCTCCTTAATAAGTCTAAATAACTGTCTACTGTTACCGATCGCCGCTGCCTTTTCCATCTCTTTAGCCTTTGCTGCCCACCACTGTTCACGATCGTTGCGCAGACTTTTCGTCAGTTTATTTTTAAGTTGCGCTCGCTCTTCATTGTACTCAGAGCCTGCAGGGATGCATTCACGTGCATCCATTAGTTTGGAAGAAGCTGCTGATATCCACTGGCTCTTTTTAGCCATTATCTTGGAGTCGGCTACAGTCTCCAGTGCTGCTTTTACAGTAGACTGAAGATGGCACCAAGCTTCTTCTGGATGAGTGACAGTCTTTTGTTCCGATAACTGCCTAGCCAACTTCTCACTGAACACGGCTTTGGTGTTTTCGTTGTCCAGCAGAACTCGTAGTGGTTTTGTTGCCAAATTTTTTCTACGTCCATTGAGACGCAGGCATATACGTGCTCGGACCAACGCATGATCGCTGTCCAAACACGTACTCCAGAAGGAGCGGCAGTCTTCCACCGATCCTCTCCAGCGATGACTAATAGCAATGTGGTCTATCTGTGTCCATCGCTGAGTCGAGCTCGGTGGACGCCAGGTCAGACAGTGCCTTTCTTTATGTCTGAAATTTGTGCTGGCTAAAAATAGGCGGTTATCTGAGCATAGTTGTAATAGGCGATCACCGTTATCTGTACGTTCAGCTGGGATTCCGAAAGTGCCACCTAAGTGCCTTTCTGCCTCACTCAGTCTACCCACCTGTGCGTTGAGGTCACCTGCAACAACCACTACGTCCGAACGTTTGGCTTTCGAGAGGAGGTTAGACAGTTTATGGTAGAACTCGTCCTTCACTTCATCCGAACTACAGTCAGTGGGTGCGTAAGCAGAGATTACAAAGAGACAACGGCGAGTCTCACTATTCCTTTTAGTTCTCACTGTGCCGTTCAGCCTCATAGCGCAGAGGCGACTATCAACTGGGATCCAGTCTAGTAGTGAGTTTTCTGCCCTGGTGCTTAATGCTATACCTACACCTGCAAGACCACGAGAGCTAGCTATCGAATCTCCAGAAACTCGAAGGGTGAATTTTGCAGATTCACCAGATTGGTCAGGAGAGGTCAGGTGAATAACCACACTTGGGTCCTGTATGCGTGTCTCACAAACACAGCACACATCCATGCCTCGAGTTGCTAGAGTCTTTGCCAACGAAGCCTGTTGGCCAATTTGACGGAGGGTGCGGACATTGAAGGCTCCAATATGTAATTTGGAGCGTGGTTTAAGGAGACCAGGGACGCTGTTCTGTGGACTCAGATCGTTGTCGAAGGCTGCAGAGGTAGGAGAAATTGAAGATGATGCAGCATCATTAATTAAGAGACGTGAAGGAAGATTAGAAGGTAATGATGGAGGAGGAGGATAGCAGTCAGAAGAAACTTGGGTGCTGACAGAGTTGTGAGGGCGGTTGACACTTCCCGGCTGCCCACACCGTGGAAGGCTATTTCTTCTTAAGGTACCTGAAAGAGATTTGTGTGACCGCAGAGCCCATCGGACATCTGCTTGAGGCCTGTCACACCCAGCCTTTTGAGTATGATTATTTTGAATTTTTGTATTTTTGGGGCCGGATGGTCGAAAGGAAACGACAAGTGAACCAACACCGCCGGCCCGGCAGACCGTGGGGCGTGGTGGAGTGTGTTATTTTTGGGGCCGACCTTTTCTAACCCCCCCTTCCACTGAGAAGGCAGCATCAGCTTGGCACTGCTGGTCATCCAAGGGAAACACCTTACTGCTGTCACACCCCATCCAGCTAGCAGCAGTACGACTTCGCCCTCAGACCCCCATCATAGTGTAGCAATTTACACTATGACGGTAACTGCTTTTCGTCTAACCACTACCCAACAGACCTTTCTGGTATGGTAGGACCTCGAGGGAACAAGCGTTCCACCAGCATAGCTCGTTGGGTCATTGTGATATGCAAGCCCGACCACCACGTCAAGGTAGCAGCTATCGGTCGGGAAATGATGCAAAACCCAAATGTTGTACAAACAACAACATACAAATCAAGGTAGAACTTGATACAATAGGGCATCAGTTCAAGTTGCCACGCTTCATAGCAACGTGCAAGGAAGAAGTAATATTAAGGTAGGCACGTATATGAGAATTGAACTTTCTTCACAACCATTCCTACTTAGGCTAAGACCATACTTCAAGATAAACAGTACTGTGGCATGAGTAACGCATGCCCAAGGTATTTCAGTTAGTGAAGGTTCACAGCTTCACTGGTTGAATTACTTTCTTGCGTTGTAGCGTTAATCTAACCTCGACATTTCTCGCACAGTAGTTGTACCACGCGTGAGCAATACTACAGACACCTATGGTGTACAAACAGCTAACTAGATTATAACAATACTAATTATGGGATAGGCATTTATCCTATGGATAGTTCTGTTAATATGCATTTTGCACATTTTGTAAACTATATAGTATTCAGTTGACATCCGAACTTTGTACAATTTCATTATTTATATGTGCAAATCATTCTTATAATCCACTACATTCGAAATCCGTTTATTTACATGTTCAGAACTCATTCGATTTGCTGCATTTTTGAAAGCTTGTTATCATCACTAGATGTTGCGTGATAACTTGGTAGACGGTATCATAATTCAGCACTGGATTTCATTTAGTTATTTCTGTTATGAAGCTTATCTTCTGGATCATAGGTCCTTCAACCTAAATTGATTATTTTTCTAATAGTTGGTCAACATTTCTGCATTGTAACAGTTCTGCCCACCTTTTGTATAATAATTTTACACGTATAGATTCCTGTGGCTGTGAAATTATTACGACCTGAAGCAATGAAAAATGATTTATGTGCAGGATTCTTATATGAAGTGCGTGCAATGCAGTGTCTTTCACATCCTAGTTTAATTCGTCTTCATGGAATTGTATTATCCAATCCAGTTATGATGGTAAGTTGGTGAATATTTTTCTGGTTTTTTGTTTGATTTAAAAATACTCTTCTGATGCTGAGAACTACAACTTTTTGTTATAATCCGGAGTTGTGAGAACGAGCGGGATTACTTAACGATGGGTAGTCAAGGGTTGAGACGATGCAACCCGAGTGATTCGCGAAGAGAAATAAAAAAAACTGGAAGCCGGAGGAGTTTATAGTATCTCGGACTGAAACGTTTATGAGGGAAAACTGACTCTATTTATAGAGTTTCCAGTAACCTTGAAAGACAAGGAGTAATTAGTACGTTTAAAGAGTCAGGAGCCAATCTGAACAATAGCGGGTCATACGAAATATGACCTATACGCTGGAAAAGAGCGCGAATAAACCAGTTCAAATATACACAAACTCTAAGTATGGAATATAAGGGATGTAGGCATCTTTAGCACTTTTGTCTTCACAATGGTGTATATCTTTTCAGAAATGATTTACCTTTCCATATGCTCAAGGCCATTTGTCGTGGTGTCACCGCGTCGGTAATTTAGAAGTCAGACGTGGAGTTTCAGGCAGAACAGGAAGTTCCTCTTATGAAGTTGTGGACCTTCATCTACCTAGGTGACTCGGACATATATCACTTGCCTAGTCACCGTGTACCTCGTCACATAATTTTAGTTGAAATACGTTCAGGCTGGTAAAAGGTTAGAGGCCGCGAGGCTAGAACATGACATCAGTCACGGAAGTCCTTGACTGTTGATCTGATCCATAATAGGGAGATACAGACTTCCCGGTTGGAGTCCAGGTGACAGCGGTAGCTAGTGGTTGGAGACTCTAGGCGATAAGGCTGAGAACCGATCTCTGACATAGATACGTCCACACATTACCGTCATCTTAATCGTCATACTGAATTCAGCATTTTCTTGTTATTCTTTACCGTATCACGACTTTCTACCACTTTTGACTGCTTTCTTCTCTATTTCTACATATTTCATTTTATCGCTCTGTCGTGTGATGTGCTGACTTGAGGTGTGGTGACTTCGACCGTTACGCAGTAATGCCTGGTCCTATGTTGATACTGTCTGTCTCTCAGTCTTAGCATATGCTCTACTTTGTTCTGTATTTGTGATAGGCGCTACAATATGATAAACAGCACTTCAAGTTCCATTCTATTCTAAATATATAAAGTAGATTGCAGGATTTGATGTTTATTCATTAAAAAAGAGCCTCTTGTTCTATCACTGTGATTGCACTAGGGAACTGTGAACATTCTTGTATTGGCATCTATAAAGTGTCACTACTTATTGACTTGCTTCTGCTAAGAACAGATACACCGGTAATTTGATAGTTGAATATAACTTATTAATCAGTTCAAAACTTGCATCATTAGATTTTGTCATCGGTAGAAATTCCAGTGTATCGCTGTTTTCCAGTTTCCTGTTTCATTCACTTGCGACCTGGAAGTGACTACAAAAGATAGTAACGGTATGCATGACTCTAGTTTTTCTGTTTGATTTTTATCTTACGTTATTAAATTTCTAACATGAAGTGAACCGCTTTATCGGTAAACCAAGCCTAAGGAATATACTTTTTACTTCAGCTGAAGTAGAGTTACTGAAAATTAGTGAATAGTGTTGTCTCTTTGGCGTATACAGACGATTTAGTCTAAGACGTGCAGTAAATGGGAATATGTTAATTAGGTCAAACTTTCCATTATGAATTAGAGTATGTTTGGTTGGAAGCAGCCTAAATCGAAATCAACACTCAAGGTCATCAGCAACCAAGGTAGAAGTTTTGGATTTCAACCTTGATTTCATGCTACTGTGTGTTGGCAGAAAAACCGTATTGAACAGTTTGGTCCTTCAGCTGGCCAGTGAGAATAATTATCCAACTTGTGACTTAATGGCTTTATTTTCTGGTGAAAAACTGCCTATAAGTGTTGTGTCTTTTGTCAAATAAAGTTGTTCTGCTTGCAGTCACAGGCCGTTCTTTTTCTTTTAATTTTTGCGGCTCAGTGAAGTATCAGGTCTGAGGGGAGGAATAATCGTTGTTAGTATCCAGTCCAAGAATTACATTGCATTATTATCGTTTCACGTATTTATTATTATCCAGTCGGTCACTTGAACGTTATATTAAACGATATAGCGAGTCCATCAAATTGTAGATCCTTTATTCATTGGAATTGTTTAGACGTATGTTGTGTGCTTCAAGTAGCTCTAGAAGAACTGCTGTAAGTCATCATATCTTACTCTAGTTAAAGCTGTGTTAAAATACAGGCCGATTGATAATTAGACTTTTAAAAACAATTAGGATCATTAGTTGATGACAGGTTGCATTGTAGTTTAGAAACGTTACCATTCGCTTGTTGTCACAGACTTTTTGGATAGTGTGATTAGAAGTGTATTTGAAAAATGTAGTGTATTTACACAATACATTTCGAAAATCTGACCACACCTTTACTTGTCAATTCAGTTTATATAAACCGGAGAGTGGAGGAAGCAAACGAAACAATTACTGTAATAGGGGGTTAAAATTGTGAATGTGATAGAAAAGTCAGAATGATATATTTGGTCCTTATTTTGCTAGCGAGATAAAGTTTTCCAAGATAGGCGTAGTGTAAGAATGAATTGTTTTTGTATACCCAAAGATGGTTTCGGTCTGCATATGACTATCGTTCTGCTGTGTCTGAGTATACGTCCCTGATTGTTTCTGTATAAAACTTTAAAAGTTACATTCATTGGTCCCTGGAAAGTAACCAATTTCTTGTTGTCAAGTATTAAGTGCTAACTGAATTCTATTGATCCTTTTGTAATATAGCCATCAAGCTAGGAGCAACACCGTTGCGGGTTAGAGTCGTAGATGGGATATCACTCCCGTCGAGGTTGCGGATACGCTTTGCTAATGAGCTCAAAGCCTAGGTTCAGAGCTTCTTGCTGATTGCCTCGATTCCGACTTACAGTTTGGAAACTGTTTGAACAATAATTCTGTGAACCGTTTTCTATGATGTGTCTAGCTATAGATGAATAGGATTGTTTCCCACCTGCAGTTATCGCACTTTCACATTCTAACTCTCTTCGAAACCATTTAGGTGCATTTTCTCTCATCTTTAACTTCATGGCCCCGTTACTCCTCCCTATGGATTTGTCCACACATATGTAAACTGGTAAACACAGTGGCATTTAACATAATCATTTGTACAGTGTTTAGGTTTGGAATGAACCACATGTTTTATCTTTTCCACAGTGATAAACTTAGATGCATAATATTTTACTATTGGCAATTCTTTACCTCCCTTTCGAAATCATACTATTCACCTTCCTTTATGTATGGTAGAGTAATATGAATGCTTTTCTTTGCAACCGAGTATAGAGTGGACTTTGGTGTTAACTGGATTCTAAAATGGTTTATGAACTTCAGTAGATATCCGTTTTCTGTGTGTTTCGGCCAGTAATCTGATGTCCTCATCCACTATCTGCTGTTCTTAGATAGACTCCTGACTCGAAAAGAAGATGGGGCAATAAGACTATCGTTCTACAGAAAGCGTGCATCGACAGGATCACATCTGAATTTTCACAGTTTTTCTCCTATTCAAAACAAGCAAGGTCTAGTAGTAAAGTATATCGTATCTGTACATCAGTTATGGGCTTACTGATCAGAACACGGGTATAAGGTAAGGAATCTAAGTCTTAGCTACTGTAGCAGGGAATTTTTTCTTATTATCTACGAGTGAATGTGTATGACTGCAACACAAACCTGGCATTTATTTAAACTGCCAAGTTGCTGCACAATACGATAAAATAAAATTGTCAGAGAGATTTTTAGAAGGATAGGTGAGATTAATATACTATTTTCAGTAGTAAAGGTGACATAAAGATCTAATGTTTTCACACCAGCAATCGATTTCCAATCATGTTGCCTAAAGTTTCCTATTACTGGTTTCTACTATCTCATGAAGGCTATTTAAAAAAGTTCGCACTTCTCAAGCAGAATGGAATAGTGTTATGTGTTAAGCTCCAACGACATCTTTTCTAATTGATTATGATTCATGGCATGAAACATTGAGTTAAATAAAGATTTGTCATACACCTTTCAGTTATTTTTGTTGAAGCAAGTTTAACACCAGCTGTTGTATATCATTTGCCCGAAAATGTCTGCCTTACTTTGTCATGTATCATTTGTTGCTTCCGTTGCACGTAATTGATCCTCAGAATCACTAAAACTGTCTATAGAGCTAGGTTGTTTGTCATAGGGCAAACCACTTTTTTTTACGTAGAATGATTAGCTACATGCTTTGAAGTTCTGTTGAGCAGCAACTTCTGTATGCTAAGTTCCCGCACCCATATATATGACATTCCTAGTGTACGATATTATTGTTAAACTCTTTTAAGACATTTTCTGTCTATTTGACTCAAGTATCAATGAAGGCAACCTGCCTGATTCTGCCACTTCGATGTGCATTTATCAATTCAAGTGCTCCTGTGGAGCTAGTTACATTGGGCATACAATGAGGCAGTTCCATCGTCGAATTTCTGAGCACCACCCATCATGGTTGAACAAGGGACAAATTACAACTATAAAGAGCTCCATACTTGCACACTTAGTTGACACAGGACATCAAGTAGTTACTGGAAAAGCCTTCAAAATCATCCATCAAATCCCAATTAATTTACTTCATGGATTACGCACTCGGTAACTTCACATAGCAGAGGCGATTGCAATCCACCTTCACAAACCTAACCTTTGTGTCCAAAGGAAGTTTGTTCGACCACTTTCATTACCATGGCCGTCAACATAATGTAACTTCTAGGTTTACTTTGTACACCTTTTCCCCTTCTTGTTTCTATCAATATTCATATTTCCAATTTTAGTAACTCTATTGATTATTTATATCATTATTTCCGAAACATCACCACGTGATTGGTAATTTGATTAAATTGTAAACCTATATATTAGTGTAAAGCCCAAGATGAAGACCTAATTGAAAAGAAATATATTTCTTCGCTCATTCAGTTTTTTCCTAAATGTCTAAATGGGAATATTCAATGAATTGTACATTTGCTGAGGTGCCAAAATTCAGTTGGTGATTGCTAATTATGAATAGTTAACCAGGTTGGATTGTGTTGTGGACAGTTGGTCCAGGCAAGTGACTTTCAACCAATGGGTCACATATCCAAACCCTGCTTGACCTACCACAGTTTAGGCAGCTGAGCAGTATCATCAGTGTTCAGAATAGGTGGGGCTCATTGCCTAGTGGACTAACTTGCATGTAGTTGCTGAGTTTTGGTAGACGCAAATCCTCAGCAGTATCAAATTTAGATGTCATTATGAACTCTTCATCTGCCAATGTACTAGGTGTTTCGCAGCTTTATTATGGAGTGAACGTTTTCTCATGATAGTTTTCAACTCAAAGTATTACCAGTTTCCCCAACTTGCTGACCATTCATGTTGTTTGGACGTCTAGGTTCTTTAAGCTTTACTCTCACTGTAAGTTCATATTTCCCAAATATTGTGCAGATTAGTAACCACGTCCAATTTTGTGCGCTTTTCTTCCAGCTACACCTTTTATGTAGGAATTGATGATATTAAGTGATTGTTCTCATTCTCAAATGGGAATTGAAAGTAGAGCCTTATCAATTAAATAATTGAGCAGATGAACGGCAACGCCACATTTCCGCTTAATGAAGGGAAATTTATGTTTATCGTTCAAAAGATACGTGGCTATATAACTCAATCTGATGCAAGCGTATGTATTCCACAATGAACCACACTAATATATAAAGGCTTATAACAATACCAGTATCTTTCTTCTTTCTATCCAGGTTACTGAACTTGCGCCTTTGGGTAGTTTATTATTACATTTGAGAGCTCAATCAATGTGTGCACGAAATAATGGATGTGAAGCGAATTTAGTATCAAACCTACCCTCTGTACCTCGTGCCCTTCAAACTGATGCATTATGGGACATGGGTATACAGATTGTCTGTGGTATGGCCTATCTTACAGCTCAAGGTCTTGTTCACCGAGATTTAGCTGCTCGAAATATCTTAATTTCATCAATTCAAAAGAATGAGTATCCTCAAATTAAAATAGCTGATTTCGGCCTAGTTCGATCAGTTCACTCAAGTACGGTGGATAAAAGCTCCAATGAATCCAGTAAATCAAATCATCTAATTTATACTAGTTGCTCAGAACAAAAGATTCCATTTGCATGGTAAGTCAATGTTACTATCAGTTAGGTCACACAGCACAATTATAAAGTTAATTTCTCCAGAGATGTTGGAACCTTTACAAATATTTTTTTGGATGTAATTTCGCATAAATCATTTTCACTGAAAAGTGTCAATCTGAATAGATGCATTGTCATAATGCTAAGAGGAGGAACTTTTATACCTACTTACTGCTGTTTATAGTGAAGAAGGAGTAAAAGTGACTAAGATTTCGGAGCATCTGTCATCGACATTTTACAGAAGACTGTGTGTTGGAAGACTGAAAGATGTATAAATGTTGTAGAACGTTGCACAAAATTATATCAATTCAAGTTGCCCCAATTCATACCAGCATATAAAGATGAAGTGAGTAGAAAAAGAATACTGATGAGTACATATGCAATTGAACTGAACAAGAGGATCCATCAATACCTTAAAAATCAATAATCACCAGATTATCCGTAGACTACTTCTCTGCAGGAAGTTTTATCCTGCCTATCTTTAAAATCAACTTTTTCCTCTCCTTAGTCTCCCACTAAATGTTTTCTTCATACTTTTACAAAGTTGTTCGTTCACTGAAAAAAAATACATGGGTCAACAATGTATTATTCTTTTTCTGCTAATTGTTATTTACAGTATTTTCATTATGTTCTTTTACTGACACAATTTATCGGAAACAGTATATAAAAGTAATATGTCAAAACATTAACTCATACTAAGTTATTTCAATATAGTTAGTACCGACATCTATAAACAGTTGGATATTGAAACCTAAAGGTAACCCAGCAACCACCTAAAAGTTTCAATATTCGATTACGGGTTATACCAATTGGATGAGAGTTAATATGATCGCAACCATCAGCTGTTATCTTGACTAGGTGGCGAGGCCTGCATACCACAATGATCCAACTAGCTATACTGATTATACTGATTGTTTCTTGAAGTCCTACCATGTCTGAAAGGTGTGTTGGAAACTGATAACACTGAAAGCCTCCAGCATCATAATGTCAAGAGCTGCGTTATAGTAGATATCTTTGGGTAAATTTGTACTGTTAGTTGGATGGGTGTAATGGCAGTTATACTAGCAGTCCATGCTGATGCTACCTTTTCTATGAGAAGAACAGTCAGAAGAAATCGGCTCCAAAAAGCATACACTCCCCCTTGTCATGAAGTATCCTAGTGACGGCTATGTGTTTTCAAACTTCCAAAATGGCGGTATTTGACCGGTCCCAGGCAAATGCCTCTCTTGAGGTTATGCACTACTATTACCAATACAGTTTCTTTTTCAGCTACCTTGCACATCATAGCCGTTTAATATTTCTTAATGTGTATCTCTCTTAATAATCTCTAGGAGTCCCAGTCCAGCTGCAACTGTATGCAAATAACCATTTCTTTCTGACCAGACATTAAAAGAGAATCTGACTTGGTGTCAGTTGATCTCAACCCAACAATGGACACAGACCATATTGCTAATACTTGTTTCTAGAGGGAGTCATCGTGTGATCACTTCTCCTGAAACATGTTTTTGAACAGTGGTCTCTCACTGGTACAAGCACATTTATGTCTGCACCTAGATGAATGTAGTGCGATCACGATTGGAAGATCATTTACAGTGCAGCTCGATGCTGACAGTGCTAAGGATGTCTTCAACAAATAATTAACCAGACAGTCCTCAAAATCGAAAAACGTCCTGATCAAGCCTGGTACCATCTTCAGCCCTCTGTAAAATCTGCGTTAAAGACCGTATCTGACTATCAGCAGGAGGTAAGAAACGACTCGTTGCAAATTACTGGAAGCACGTAAACGGATTCCTGCACGATTTGAGAATGACGAGCCGAAAAAAGCAGCTCAAATGTTGATGGACAAAGAATCTATACAGTTACTATAGACATCAGTGTGCAGTGAAATCTAAGTAGATGCAAAAGGCGGCATCGTTATATAAGATATTTATTCAGACAATTGTAGTTCGGTGTTATCTGATCTTTGGTATTCTGTCGTGAATGTTTCATCACCAGGCGTAATGATGTCTTTACAAGATATCAAAGCTGAGAGAACACCGAGTCACCTTCATCGTCAACCTGACTTACAAATATTTTCCCCCGTTTCAAAGTTATTTAGACTTATTTAGTAAACTGAGTTGATAAATATAGTGAGTAGTCGATCGGAAGCAGAGAAAGATGAGTCTGCAATTTACCCATAAGGGGAGAGGTTTGGAACGATAGATGGACCACTTTGAGAAATAGTTCAACTGACCTCCAGCCACTCTTCTGTTGCTCGTTATCTAGTAGGATCCTAGTGGAGCTGTATCTCATTGGTTTACGAAGAGGACTTTCAACCAATGGGTCATGGGTTCGAACCCCGCTCCAACTACCGAGGTTTGGGTAGCCAGATACTATCATTGACGAATATGCACAAGGTTGTTGAGTCCATTTCGATCTTCAGTTTTTTCGAGTCAAATCCTTATGGTAACGCTGATTTTTGCTTTCCAATTCTCACAGAAGTTAAGAAGACTCACTTGCAGCGAAGAAAGACAGCGGACCTTGATGGACTAGTCACTAGTATCTAAGGGCGGTGTACGGAAAATATCGGTTAGGTAAATTAAAGTTTCACTTAGCATATCGGAACCAGGTATGACCCTCTCTGACTGATTTCAATTATTGATTGCCCCAGTCTTCAAGAAAGGCTAGAAATCCTCATACGGGAACCACAGGGAAATCAGTCTGGAAAACATAGTTTCTGAGATCCTGGCTATTGTAGTTAGCAGACGTTTAGGTGAAGCTCAGAAGCAGCATATCCGAGAAAATCAAGCATTTTTCAGACCTGGTACATGGGTATGTCAACCAGATATTCACCCTTCGCCAAGTTTAGGGATGCAGACATATTTATCGTCGCCTGACACTATATTCCTTGACGTGAGGGCGGTACTTTACTCCTCCTATCAGTTCTTGTAGCAATATCTGTCACTGAACGGGGTGCCTGGGAACTAATGCAAACTATTTCGCATTGTATCATCGAACGCCTGTGTTAGCTTTATCATAGTTATATATGCCTTATAGAGCTTTCCTCTTCTCCTGTGACTGAGCTTGGCACAGAAGACTTCACAGTAGACCTGGAGTACACAGATGGCATAGTCCCGTTAGGTGAAAACATTGACAAAGTGCATTGGTCTAAATATCTTGAGTGGCGATTTGAGAACATTTGGGATACTTTTCGCACAGTTCAAATGGAAATTGTTTCATGATTGGACTTCATCAATTACTCGTTTAACGATAGGAAGTTAAGTTGTAGAGCACACTGACCACTTCACTTACTTGGGAAGTCAAATCGGCTCTGGTGGGACAGTGAGTGAAAAAAATCTTCGGACGGATACAAAAGGTCCTGTTGGCTTTCGTCAGCTTACACCATCTGTGGCGCCACCTTGATATTCATTTATCTATTAAGTGCCGAGTGTACCGCACTGCAGTTCACTCTGTTATGCCATATGATTTTGGAACATGACAATTGAGGATAGAATATACGAGAAGGCTTCAGGTTTTCGACCACCGTTACCTTCGTATCATAGGTTGTGTCATGGTGTCACTACATGAATAGCATAAGAGTCAGGAATAGAGTCTTAGGGAGAAGAGGAGAATCAGTTGGCTCAGATAACTCAAACAAGTAGAACTCAGTCACCGTTTGCCAGTCGCGTAGTATTAGCTGAAGTTGGGTTAGGCTAAAGAAAGGTTAGAAGCAGCTAAACTGAAGCTCTGACTGTTGATTTGAGCGTTTTGGAGAATTGTATAGTTTCCAGTTGGGATCTGTATGACAACTGAAATCGGTGGTTAGAAACTGTAGGTGATATGATTCAGGATTGATTTCACTGGTGCAGGTGCATTCACACACGATCGTCATAGTAGTCGTCATATCGCATCTCGTCATTATTTTACCTTTATTTCTTCTCTTTCTGTCTTTCTAAGACTTTTGATGACATTTTGTTCCTATCCCACTATATTTCATCCTGGTGTATTATCTGGATGTGTTGATGTGACTGGTGGCATGTCCACCCCTCACGGAGTAGTTCCAGGTTCCACGTTAATATGTGCCTACGGACTGCAGTATTTTCACTATGTAGGGGTGGAACCGTGTTGGTTTAAAGCTGATTAAATCTTTGACTGGACGGTTTCAGATCTAATCCCCAAATCAATGAGTTGCAGTTCTACATCTCACCTAATGTTTATACCATTGCCAAGCAAAGTAAGTTAATACCTAACAACCTGATGGCTATCTTTTAGTAATTGATGAATATTTATTTCGAGGTTATCACTTCACAGTCGTATCAGTTTCTCGTGTTGGTAATCTTTATTCATCATATAGATTAGCCTCCTGCTAATTCTTGGAGAAAGTGTTCAAGTTTGTTATCATGAAAAGTTTGAAATGTAACAGTCATATGGTTTACTTGATGTCAGTGTAATTGTTCAGAATTTAAACCAGCACTGACTGAACTGAACTCATCACAGAGGTAGACGGAAGGTTGTTGCATGTTGTGTTAAATTACACTAGTAATAGCCGGAACACAAAATTGTTTGAAACCAGCGTCATGTATTGTAGTGACATGGTTAAAAACGCTACATTTTTCATCACAACTGAATGTTTTGAACTCAGATCTCAAGAAACACATTTAGTCTTTGTTCATTGATTTCACGACTAGCGATTGTTGAAAGCAGAATAACAAACATGTAATCGGAAAGCTTTTTTTCTCTAACGACAAAATTGAAGAACGTTTCGCTCAGTAAATACATATATGTTACGATCCTACGCTATATATAACGATGCAACGCTCCGAGACGAATACGATTAAGGATAGAACAATGACTCCTTAACTCCATATTTAGCTGACACCCAAAGAAGACGATGAGACAGACTGAGACCGAATTCTAATAAGTGAAAACTCAGTCGTTTATATATCCTTAGATGGTCTTGGCTAGAGGAAACAAAATAGCATATTCAAAGTGTAAAATGGACCAATCAGCGTTTAGTATTCATAACTGCAGTAAAAATAAGAAACATAACATGCCGCGAAAATAAGGCTCAAACTTTACAATAAAAATATTCTAAATTAGCTATCTTAAGGATTGCCACCCCTAACAGTGTACTACAGTAAAAAATATCATCAGACGCTCGAAACTGTAGTTTTGACCAAATCGAAGGTTACCATGCCTACCCAAACATAGTGACAACGTACAACTCTAGTTAGACATGTTTTCAGATGTGATATGCAACTGATGAAGTTTGACGGAATAAAGCTACAACTTGAAATTTTAAATTACATTGCCATTGCATAGGCGAAAAATCGTTAAATCTAAGCACTTTCTAATGGGTGTCAAAATCTGGAGTGTTCTATAGAATCAGTAAGCAAGGCGTATTATTTAGAATGGAAGTCAAAACATATTGAAGAAAATGTTAGTTCATTTTGTTTTTCCAAAGAAAATATTTAGGTTGAGAGCATGGTATCCTCTAAGACTAAGATTTGTGTGTTAAGTAGGACAGACTTCTGCAGACCCAAGTATTCTTTCTGCTGCTATTCTGAAACTTCTAGAGACATAAATGTTATGCTCAGGGAAAATGATTACCTCTGGAATGCAATTTACCACATACCCGATGTAACTGCATGCAAAAACGTAAGAGCTGATATGCATAGTACAAATTGTTAAAGGTCGTCATCCTATATATTCCAATAATTTGTATTATCTTCCTGGTTATTTTTAAAAATAGCTACCTGAGGAACAGTGGCAAATATATGTAGCTCAGGGTGTGGATGCTCAGAGTGAGTTATTCTTCGAGCAATAGACACCTCATTACGTTGCGATTGCGTCATTTGTGGCACCTGTGAGATATCCAGTTATCTATCGAAGGATGAGTGTGTTGCGCTGCAGTCCCTTTTGTCCTGTTATACGACTGTCAGACATGGTCGTTAAAAGTAGAAGACATGAAGTGATTATAGGGTCTTAATCACAAATATCTTCATACCATTGCTCGCCTTTGGTGGAATCACCGTGTGAGCAGTGTTGAGGTTAGGCGAATGATACTAGGCAAGGCAGGGAAGTTGATTGATGATATTGTAAACCTTATTTGACTGCGATGGCTTGGACATGCATCGCGTATGCCGAGTCACTGCCTATCTCGACGTGTGAGGCTGGTGGGGAAGGTCGTATTGTGTTTGAAAATGGTTGAGGGTGGCCAGACGAAGAAGTGGGACCAGTCGATGAAGTTCGTGGCCGTGAGCCGTGTACGGAAATTACAGCTAAGCTAGTCTAGCGACTTACACTACATCTTGAAAGCACTAATATAGCGAAAAAGAGCCAGACTGTTTTCTAGTCATAATGTCCAAATGGACATAGTCGACATACGACCTAGCATTATGGCGTAACTGTCCAAACTGACACACTTCATCTCAGTTTATCAAGGTAGCTAGAGGGAAGATTAAAAAAAATGTAACTTTCTCTCCAACTCACCGTAAGCCATGAGCGAAAAGAAGAGGGGATGAAGCGAAACCAAAACATATTATTGCGATTTGGGTTAAAGGTAAGGCATGGTTACATTTGAACCACCAAAATTGATTTTGACCCATGCCATAGGTTTCGGTCGCTTTGTGAAGCACAGACTGGAAGCTTACATTTCCCTACCCAACCTAGATTAACGGTCAGAGATTTCATGAACTGATATGACGTATTGGTTTGGCAACTGTTAACTTTTTTCCACCCTGATCTTATCCTGGCTAACATGGTACGTTGTCATTGAAGATGGTACTTTGGTATGTGTTACATGTTCCAGTCATACATGAGTAATTCAACTTCTTCATAAAGCTGAAATCGAATAGAGAAGATATCATGTGATGTCTAGACTAATATATGTCAAACAGAACCTCATCATTGATCAACAAGCGCATCTTTTGTATTGTCCAACCGTTTTCTAGGTCTGCTCCAGAATCTTTGCGCAAACGAGTTTTTTCTGAAGCAAGTGATGTTTGGAGTTTAGGTGTTACATTCTGGGAAATGTGGACTGGTGGCGCAGATCCATGGCGAGGTATTAACGCTGAACGACTGTTAGAAATTTTGGATTCTGGACGTCGACTCGTATGGCCACGATTCACCTGTCCACGTCGTTTGTATCAATTAATGTTAGCTTGTTGGCGAAATGAATCACATCGGAGGCCAACATTTTCGTATCTCGCTGAAAGACTGGATAGGGTAAGATTCATCACTGCTCTTTTATTTGTTGCTTTAATACCCATTAACTCAAACAGTTTCATATTTGCTTATTTTGCATTATTGAAGTAAATCGTCACATTTCCCATTGATAATCGCCAGTTGGTGACATTTTTGTTGCTTTCAGCAACTGGGCATAAGTAAATTTTCATGCTGATCTAACTTGTACCGCATTTAAATGTATGAAATACGATTCATTAATCGAGCATGTACTTGTGTAGTTACCTATGAATTACACGTGTTCAGTTTTCGACCATAGAAAATTGTCTAGAGTGAAGTAGATAGCGTAAACTTGTTTGTAGCCTTGGCTGTTTTTTCAAGTGCCAAAATGACTTTTCACATGTTAGACTGTGTACAGAACCGTCTGAAGTCCTTCTGTTTTCTTATGTTGTATTTGTACTCTTTTAAAATTCGAGTTATAAACTAATTCTCGCATTTTGTACTACCTAGAATGTGTAATTCACGACCTCATACGAAAACAGACTCTAAATGCTACCTTAGTAACTATTGAAATATCCAATTAGGTTTCCTTATTTTGTGAAGAAATTAACTTTCAAAGTGAGATAAAGAAAACCTACTGGTTATACCCGTAGTCACTAGGGCTGGATTTTAAGTCACTCTACAAGAAGAACCAAACTTCGACTGATTTACAGAAGTTAAATAGGACGCAGCTACTAGCAATAAAAGTTACAAAATAAGAATTTCAAAATTATAACTTGAAGGTGTATCAGGAGTGACAAATGAACTTCAGTAAGCATTGTTGGGAAAACTTGTTTTATTCAACAATTTTAGCATACACTGACAATGCCGTCTGGCGACATCACGTGCCAGGCCCTCGAGTGGAACCCAAATGGGAAACGACGAGTTGGGCGTCTGGGGCGAGGGTGACATGGAGGAGATCGTGCGAGGAAGAAATGAAAGCTTATGGACAGTCGTCGAGCCAGGTTAAAAAGACTGCAGAAAAGAGTGAAGTGGCGATGTGCTATTGAACCCCTATATTCCACTAGGAACCCAAGGGACAAATAATAATGATAATAATAAAAAGCAATTTTAGATGCAAGGCTCTGTTTTCCAGTGATGCATTGCTATTACTTGAACACTTTTTCAGCAAACCAGGCAGTGGTCTGTAGCATCTTTCTGGATGATTGTCTTGATAGTTTTCAAAAGTATCATTCATATTTGTCTTCTTTATTGAAAGGTTTATTAGTTTTGTTTTTCTCATTTATAATGATATTAATGAAAGTGGCCTACATCTTCACATAATTTCTTAAATAGGAAATAAAGGGGGAACGTAGACATTTTAGAAGTAGGTGAGTCTTTCCGGCAATTTTCTTTCACGATGACTTTCATAAGTGTGACATCTTCACAGCTACTTTCCAGCATATTTTACGAAAATTCATAATCCTTTCAAAACTTCACTTTCCTCTGCAAATTGTTGAGAAACTATACCGTTTCATAATCATAAAATAAATTTTGGTAACTTCTGAAAAACTTAACAATGATTATTGGTACAATCGTTGGTAGTTTAGCTTAGTGGGGAACATTCAAACTAACTCATCGGCTTGTTAGCGCTAATCTGTTCTCCTTAATCAGCAATATTTTGCATAATCTAACTCCTAAATACATTTGCGTATGCCTCATTTTACTAATTGACGCCAGTAAAATTGTTGGTCACTGTCTTGTTGTTTGATACTGTTCGGTTCAGATGGTGAGGTTACTTTTTTGGGGAGGTCATCACTTCTCCATGTCATACGATGTTTGTTTGGTTGCTCTTTCTTAGCTGGTGGTTTCTGTGGTAGTGTACGGTAAAACTATCTATATCATGGTTAACTAACACGTTTGAATCCCTTGTTTGTTATCAAATATCAATATGCATATCCTAACTTTTCTTCTCGTTCTTAACACAGATACGCCCGATTATTGTTATAGCAACGCAAAATCTTGATGAGGCTGATCGTTTAGGCTTAGAAGCTGGTGATACTCTTATCGTTATTGATGGGAAATCTCAGGACTTTTGGTGGTGTGGTCAAAATAGACGAACTGGTGAAATAGGCTCATTTCCCCGAGGTATTGTAAAACGTGGTAACGTTGATACACTTACTAGTAAGTCATTTACTTGTGCCCTATTGTATAAAGTGTCTGTGATTCAGATTATATTGTCGTAATATTGTTTTGCTATCTTTTTTATATGAACGACGAACACTGATAAGTTCCTATGTATAACTCAGTATTACGTAATACGGATAGCTTAACAACATCTGGGAGACAAATCTCTGACACGCAGGGATTATTTCATTGAATTATCGCTTATATTAACTTACAGAGCGGGTTTTCATTCTCTTTGGTACCTATAGACAGCTTATTACCACTTCTTATTAACTACCAACAGCTTATTTTGAAAGATTATTTGAAGAAAAGGTTTTATTCATTTGAAGTAAATATTAGCTGATTGATAAATTGGTAAATTTCCTTTTTATACTGGGTGATGGTTGAAGGTGAAATGAAAATTATTGAATTGGAGAAGTGATGCCATTGTGGTGGATGTCTACATTTAACTTGACTCAACTGGCTTTCTTTTCCCTGTGGTGGAGCTGTGGTTTGTTGGTTTAAACAGATGGCTTTCAACCCATTGATCACGGGTTTTCGAATTCCACTCTACCTACCGAGGTTTGGGCATCCAGGTAGTGTCGTCTCCCCTCACATCATAGATGTGGCTCATTGCCTGCCACACGAAAGCGCACAAGTTTAGTGAGTGGACCTCGTTGCATTTCATTTCATGGTTAATATAAGGCAAAATAATTTAATAAGTATATTGGTTTTCTCTCTCGATAATACCCTACTTGTTACTTGGTGTCGATCTCTTAAAAAAGTTATTTGTACCAAAGAGTTATTTGAATCAGTATACCATTTATGGAATTGACTAAAGATTGTTGCATAACAATATACTTTATAATTGCAATGAATTAAATGAATTCACTTACTAACTCCTATAACTCTTGTAAAATATCTTGTGGCAAACTCTTTTGGTGTTCCTGACACATGAGCGTCTGCAGGCTTGTGCATTAGGGGATGAAACACACCTGTTGTTTGAGGGCTCGTGATACGACTTGGTTGCCAACACCACTTCATTGGATAAATCGAAGTCCGAACTTGCAACCTCGTTGAAATTTGATTGTCTAGACGTATGTGGGTTTCAAACTTACACTGCCTACTTCAATCTGGGCAAATGAATAGTTAGAGTGACTTTAAAGGCTGCCCTAACAACTGCTGAGATAATCAGTTACGGTTTTTACAGCAGTTGGTGGGGTGACCTTTAAAGTCACTCAGTTGTTGTGTCGTTAACGTACTGTTTTCATAACCTAGCACACACTTGTCTATTGGATTGGTTAGTTATATATATTTTAAAATGTGTTCTTTTTTGATCAAATTAACTTTTGTCTGGATTCATACGTTCATCCTGAGTAGGTGTGATTCATTCATCAACTTCATTTCACGTTTGTTCATCAAGGATTTGCAGTCTCTTCACTAGTGTTCCTCAGATATTTCACTATTAGCAGAAGCATTTTGATTTTTCCTTCTTTTATGAATGTAGGTGATTATATAAGCCAGCCAGTCCGTGATTCCTTTCTACATACTGAACATATTCGTAAGAATGGAACAGGATGGAGTTCATTGCAGCATGATGCATCCAATGAGTGAGTACTGTATTTGTATTAGTATTGAAATGAATATGCACTGAGTAATACACTAAATCCTCTACATTAACTTCCAGCTACTGTAATAGTGTTATGGGTTGTTTTGCATCTTTTATTCTCGAGAATAAATTCTTAAACTTACTACATCTTTACTGTTACGTCTCTTTCACCGAGAAGTCCAGCTAGGTTTGTGACCAGTATAGCTGGGTCGTGTTAGTGCTACCGGCAAGTATGATCACTATGTCAAGATGTAATCCATCTACTGATATCTATTGCATTTACACATTGTACATTCATCAGAAATAGTTCGTGACTAACTACATGTATTTAGCTTTGTCCATTTTAGTTGTTTTATGAAGTCTGATTTAAGTAATGTTAAATACAGTATAACAAAAAATGAACAAATTAATTTTAGTCACAGAATTATGCCATTAATTATACTTTTAAGCTAAAAAGATTGTTGTATATGATATTGCTTGTATTATATAAGACCATACCCGTCACATAGGAAGTGGCTGTCGTGACTCGGTGGACCAGTGTATAATGCTCTGTCTTTTAAAGCGATTGGTGCCGGTTTCGAGTCTTAGTGAGAACAACATCACTCACTAGGATACAGACATACACCCGGCTGACGAGCCTCAATTAGAGCGAAACACGCGTCCTGGATTCGTCTGCTAGCTACTATCTATCATTGATATCAAAAGACTGTTTTGGTAAAAGAAGTAAATATGTTTGTTTCTGAATATTGTTTAGCAGAATATTACTCATAATTTGTGTTGAAAAGTTTTCGGAGAACAGTTCAACTGACGTATCTTTAGCTCGGAGAAATCAAACTTTAAAGAAGTAGTCATGGTTCGGAACGAAAAGATGTTTATGAAATATAATTTTCGATTCTAAGACACAATCTCTTGCCAACGTTACATATCAGTAAGATTATTTTTACCTGTAGGCAAAATATAATTATGTTGAGATTGTTATAATTATATTTAACAAAAATTGAACTCATGTCACACCGTTACTTGAAGTTCTCTACTATAATTCATTCAGTCGTACTGGAATTTACACATGCTTGGTATGTAAACCATTGCTGGCTAGTTGTCTAATATAGCAGCATTCACTATAACCATTTTAATGTAACTTCTCAGTTTGTAGGTAACTTTTTGCCTGACTTTTATTTCACTTAAAGTACCGATAAAGCGTATTTCGTTTGGTAAAAACACCATGAGAATTATGGGTGCTCTAACTAGAAACATGGGGATATGGGCAATGTGCGCAGATCTGTTATCAAGTTGTAGCCAATGCATCACTGTTGAACGTGGTAGTCAAGAATAGTTTGTATGACAGATGCATAACTTTGAGGTGTGGTTCGTGCGTGACTGAGCCATTGAGTGATGCGTAGATGGTTTCGAATGAAAACGAATTTAATCAACAAACTTATTAAGCCTTTTCAACTTCCTTGCGTTTTTACTATGCGTGCCTAGTTGTCTTTGACATCAGTGTAAATTATTGATCGTAGTCAGAGTAGGATAAAAAAAAACGCTTCAGTGTTCCCGAAGCCGAAAAATGCCACGAATCCACAGAATCACCGTTCGTTAATATGAATTCAAGAAATAAGTATAGGCTTAGTGACTGGAAGTTTTCGAGGTGTCAGGTATCACTACTTGCAGATCCAGTATGGCATAGCTCAAAATTGATCTCAATCGCATCTATATGTTTGTTCTTCATCTTTGTTCAGAAAATCCTGAAGATATTGTTACTTCGGGACCTTTTTTCTATCATTTATGAGAATATCTTTTTATGGCGTCTGTTCTTGTTTATTTCTTTTTTTGTGCTACTGAATGTTGTAAACTAGATCAGTGCTTTACTTTTTACACGATTGTACGTATTTCTTGTGATCTGTTTTGAGTTGAAGTAAAGAAAACTTGCCGTTCTTAACAATAATTATAAAGACCTAACTGTCACAGATTATTATTTCTGATTCACCTTTTCTTTGTCTTCACTTACGAAATTCCACTTATCCTTTGTTCAAATACACACTAAACAGTTATAAATGTTCTAATGAATCCACTTTGCCTTGTGTGTACTCAAACACACTTTTCTGAGAACATAAAACTAACTAAGCCGTGTGACTTTTAACTAGCAAAATGTCTGTCTTTTCAGTTATGTCTACACGTGCACTCAACAGGCGGTCGTTACATCTTAGTGATAATGACGCTTTCCCTAATGAAACATACAGTTTTTCTATGTAGAACTGACTCATCACTCTGAGCAGTTACTTGTAAATAATTTATTATTATCAATATGTATACCACTCAAGTTCAGAATGTCAGCATCATTTCTCACATGTGTAGAATGTATAATTTTGAACTTTGTTTTAGTCCATTGCTAACAAGTTGCCGTTGTTTTCATACAATCTGTTCACAGCATACACTAATTATAACCGCTGTTGTAGAACAGCAAGTGATTCAGGAAGGTTCAAAAACGTATTCTTTCTAAGTTAAATATGACTTTATCTCGATGTATATGTATTTGTTATCACAAGTATATATCGGTCAAAAAATTACTAGACATGAGGGAACGTGCTTGCTAGGCGATCTGTTGTATTTCTTATAACTGGTATATACTATTCATCGAAGAGTGCTATACTTTTCATAGTATGTAGTCGCACGAACCATTTCTTTTCCAGGCCTCAATATGTTTTATAGATTTACCCTGGATTTCGGTCATATGGGAGTGACTGGCTGGCTGGCTTAGACAGTTATTCAACAACTCGTTAGTTATGAATTCAAGTCTCGTTGCACCCTTATTTCTCATACATTTGTTTGGTGTATATCTTTATGGGCAAATCTGAACATAGTTACTCAGTCTCATTAGTTGTGTGTAGTATTGGATAACTAATTATGTCGAATAATAAACCAGTCAAATCAAATGATTTTATCCGATTGTGCGAAATCTGTTGTGATTCGGCCGCTCAAATTGATTAGTTATCAAGAAGAATAATGTTGAAGCCTTAAATTTCGCTATTTCTTTCGAAATCACAAATACTTGCTAATATCAGCACTTCTGGTCAAATTCGTTTCAAAATATAACGCAGGAAAACCCTTTCAAACTATGCATTCCCTACATGAAATATTACGATATTTAACCACCCAGCTTCCGTTAGGCAGTATCAGTAATAATTGACCATTGTAAAGTAATCGGCAATATGGAGCTGGTAAACGTTTGTTCAAGGTTCCACTGTCACCGTTCATAGGTGTACTAATAAACATAATTTTAAGATATATCTGACTTCACATTGACCTACTCCCTGGAGGCTGTCACGTTGACTTGAAGGATGCAGACGATATCTTCCTACTAGGTGAAGATGCTGAAAAAATGCAGGACATTTCGAATGCTTTGAGCAAAAATCTATATGCGTTTCGCTAGCACCTTTCAAATGTAAGATGGTGCTCCAGGACTAGTCTACAACTAATCCTTGTCTTAGAATACAGTGTGAAGTGGTGGATTATATTGACCACTTCACTTACTTGTGAGTTGCATCAGCACGAACGGAGTGATTGCTGAGGAAATCCAAGCTTGGATACATAAGGCCCGTTTTGCATTTGGCTACTTGCGTCATCTCATGCTCCAACTGGGGAGATATCCGAATACCTGTTAAGAAACCGGGTACACCTTGCTGCAGTCCGTTCTGTCCTGTTGTAAGTCTGTGAGACTTGAGCGTCAAAAGCAGAAGATATGAAGTGATCATGGGGTCTTAATCAAAAATGCCTTCATACCATTGCTCGCGTTTGGTGGACTCACCGTGTGAGCAGTGTTCAGATGCATTGTGTTCTCTGAGCTGGGTGTTTAATCGTGAAGCTTTCATCGTCTTGCTAGACGACATCATCAGCACTAACTTCAGTGTGAAGTGAGCTGACAATATCTCTCCGTGAGTGATTTAGTAGCTTGCCTTGATGAAGCGGTCCATGATTGGTTGTTTCCTTCGATTGTTGTGTCATTGACTGTATTGACTTGCCTGTTGACTATCCCTCTGCTTCACCTCTGACGTTTCTGTCGTTTATCATCTTTCTTATTGGTTGATAGATTGGGCCCATGTCTATATATCTGTTGATTGTTGACTGACCTGAATGCCAAGCTTCTAGGAATTCTCTGATATTTTTTGTGTTTCCCCTGTCCAAAATTTCTACATTGTCGAAATTGAATTCATGTCCATAGTTGTTATCCACATGCATTGAAGTGAGTGATGAAATGCCGTGACGCTTATTAACCAATTGGTGTTCATGTAGACGAAGGCGAAGAGGGCGACCACTTTGTCCAATGTGGTGTTGACTACAGTTATTGCAGTTGATTTTGTAAATGATATTCGGTTTGTCTTCTTTGGTTGTTGCATCCCTTTGGTCTGCATAATAGTCTTTGTAGGGAATTCGTTGGTTTATGAGCCACACCAATTCCAAGTGATCTCAATAATCTTGTCGTGATTTCTGATATATTCTTTATGCATGGTAGGACGATGCGTTTGTTGATTTCTGTCGATGACTTTGTAGTTGATGATGTACGGGATAGGCATCTTCTGCTAAAGTTTCGTGGGTAGCCGTTCTTCTTTATGTTGGACATCAAGTGATTTTCTTCGTTTCTCCGTGAAGTTGTTGTACTGCAGTGTGTTCTCGCTCTACTGAATAGAGTCTGCACGCAACTGATTTTGTGGGTTGCTGCTACTCTAGTTGAGGACTTGGTCAGTGTGTGTTGGCTTCCTGTACACTTGGGTTTCCAGCTTCTATTGACCAGAACATCGAGAAATGGTAGTTGGTTGCTTGACTCTTTCTCCATTGTGAATTTGATGTCATTGAAAACGTTGTTGATCAAACTTTGGGTGTTTTCTATATCATCTTTTTTAATGATGACAAAAGTGTATTCCATATAGTGAATCCAAATTTTTGGGTTTGATCAGAGGTAGAATAATGGCTTCCAGTCTCTGCGTCACTGCTTCGGCAATTAATCCG